AGGGGGTTGATCCTCAAACGTCGTCCATAAAGGACAATATATAAGCTGAAAAGTTTTGAAAATTTCATCTGAAATTAAAAAGGAGCAAAAGCTCTTATTTGGTGCCTGAACAAATTTTTTCTTGATTAGTCGTGTGCGTGTGATGATCATCAAAAATTTCCATTGCCTTAATTTGAGTGTCTGAATGAAAAAGGACGAAAATCAGAGAAAGACTTAAGTACAAAGCATAGTTAAAGAGGTATCTGAAGAGGTTGCTCGAGATTTAAAGGTTCTTACACAAACTCTTCGCGTCATGTGAACATCAGACGAACTGTTTTTTGATCAATTTGAACAGATGTATCACGTATGAGTACCGGGTTGTTGTGATTTTCACGAGTTCTTGTAATGGTCGTTTGGGGTCAAGCAACGATTTAAGTTTGGGGGAGTTTGATCAGTGGTTTTTCCACCTTTATTTACATTTGATTTTAGTTATAGTATCTTTATTTTGTCAAGTGTTTTATTTCATTCTTCTTTGTTTCATGTGTTGGTTGTATATTTTGTTGTTTTCAGGCTCAGAGAAATAAAATCAGGAAAATTGGTGTGAAAAGTACAAATTCAGAGTTTTAGAAGAAGTCTCAAAAACCAAGATACAGGGTGCCTGACACGGCCACCCATGTCACCTGACACGGGCCGTGTCAGGATGAACGTTATTGACAAAAAGGAAAATTAAGAGGCTGACACGGATGCCCGTGTCACCTGACACGGCCTGTGTCAGGGTGCCTGAACAGAAGTCAGAAAATAAATTATCAAAAGGCCAACACGGGCGGCCGTGTCACTTGACTCGGGCCATGTTGGCCATTGACGTTGATTTTGAATGCTTTCATAATTTTTCACTATTTGAGACTCAGGGGAATTTTGGGTATTTCTGACTGAGACAAATGGATTGTTCACTGTTTAGCCAAGTTTTAAAGAGAAATTAGGGGACTTTTTGGCAGAGAAGAATAGTTCACATGACTGAAGATTGAGGAGATCAAGGTTCTTGGAGAGCGGAATATTCTCATGAGCGGAAGCAATTGAAGATCGAAGTTATCCAATTACTTGTAATGTCTAATTTTTATCTTGTGATTATTTTGAACAATATGAGTAGCTAAACCCCCAATGCTAGGGGGTGTCCCTGATTTGTCTCTGTAAATGATTTTGTGTTTTGAATTTTTTTTAATACAATAGTCTTCTCTATTCAATTTAGTTGTACAATATTTTTATGCTTTCCAGATCAGACAAATTAGGATTAATTTACGGTTAACAATCAGACGGACCGCGATTGTTACGATTTTTGTACGATTAGGCTATAGTATATATCACCTAGGACTAGGGATATCCTATAGTTATCAGATAACTCTTGATAAAATAAAGGCTTAACTCCATCATAAATCTATAAGGAATTAGGATTTAGGATGAAGGTTCAAAGGTTTTCCCACTAAGGACTTAGGGGAAGATAACCTAAAGGGATGGTAATTGAAGGATATGAAATTATTGAAGAGATCGGGATTCAAGATAGTTACAGGGTAAATTATACACATTAACCTAGAATGCTCCTCATATCTGTGAAAAAACCATTTTATATTTCTGCTATTTATTAAGTTACAATATCAAAACCAAAACCCAAATTAAATTTTTGCTTAATTGAACGTAAATTTAACTCGATAATTATACGTAATCCTTGAGATCGACATTCGGAGAATTTTTCTTATTATTACTACATCAGTGAAAATAGTACATTTGTTATTTTTCCCATCACCCAGTCAAAGGAGAAGCCATATTCTTTAGGAAGATAGGGAGATAATGGTTTCCATGCTCCTGAGAGAGGCAAAATAACTGCTCCTTGGATCCAAGAATTTAGACCTAATCGACATATATAAATACTTTAACCTTATGGTTGATGGGAATATTAAATTCACCTAACAAGGAAAAAATACATAGTTTATCACCACTCTACGTGAGCTTTCTAAAACCAACAACAACCCTAAATCCCTTAGACAACCCTACATAATTTGGGGTTACCTCTCGTTGTTCTTTTAGCAAGTATAATTGGAGCACATCGTGTGGCCCTAGTAAAACTAATCTAGTCCACCATTGCATTAAACACTCAGGTTAATATCCATATCTTCAAGCCCTATGTTAAATATGGTGAAAAGCGTGCAACAACTTCGACCAAGAATAGTTCTGACAACGTCCAAGATGCCATAATAGAAATGCGTACTGCTATGAATGACTTGCGTTAACATAACCAGACTTAGAAGGAAAACATCCTTTATATCCAACAACATTACAAGGAGGTTAATCTCCCTAAAGAGATAGATGTTCTGAACCCTTAACCTCTTTCTAATGAAATATGGGGAACTCCATGCCAGAGAATTTTGAGTTGGCATCACTAGAAAAGTTTGATGTATGTAGCGACCCCAAGAGCATGTTGCCTCCATCAAAACACAATGGCCATTATTGGAGTTTTCGACTCCTTGAAATGCAAGCATCTCTCTGGCAGCCTCTAGGATACAATGTTAAGGTGGTACATGAAATTACAAATGACTATTTGTTTCCAGCTACCAATACCTAGTAAAGAAAATGGTCCATTAGTTTATAACGAGCAAACGTAAAATGATGTCTACCACTAGTTTGTTCAACATTCACCAAGGCCCTTCAAAATCTTCGAGGGAGTATCTCGCCCGCTTTAATAAAGCAACCATTAAGGTCTTTCACTATAACCATAAGATGTCCTTAAGAGAATTCCAAAACAAATTGAGGTTTTGACATTTTAATCAATCCCTCGCCCAATGACCTGTTGTTTCCCTAGATGAGGTAGTGACGTGCATATAGCGTACCCTAAAGGACGAGGAGAGCAATATTTAGAAGAAGGCCTGAGATGTTCAAGAGAGGACAACATGTAACCCTAATAACTCGTAACAGTCATGTATGAACCATTATACCTTATCTATTAGAGACAGGACGACCTTCAAATAGAGCGAGATGCCTACAGAGAATTGGATGCCCTTTAATACTCCCTGTGAGCAGATATGACGTGGAGTCTTCTATAAACACGATATTCCTCTTCCATCAGCCCCAAGTCAGATATCATGGGGCCTGAACCCACCATCTGGTGTAAGTTTCACAAGGTCAAGGGCCACCACACGAAAGACTACTACTAGATCAAGAAGGAGATTGGGAACATCATCCATGAAAGCCTCTTAAAGAAACACGTTAGAGGTGACTCTGGATCTTAAAAGTTAGATGCCTCACGAAGCCCTAGATCCAAGAAGTGTAAGGAACTAAGAAAGAGAGATGAAGATATGCCCATATGTCATACCCTTAACACCATAACATGATGGTTTGATGGAAGCGGGGAGACTAGCTCCGCTCGCAGAAGGTGTGCACAACAAGTTTTGACCATATAAGGCTCTCCCTCCAACTCTGATCCAGGAAAAAAATATACTCTATAGTTTAAGATCACCTTATCTAAGAGGGGCACATCAAGAATCCATCCACATGATAACGACTCCATGGTCATAATTGTAAGGTATGGTGATTGAGAGATTAAGAAAGTGATGGTTGATTAGGGAAGCTCTACATGCATCCTCTAATGGGATGTTTTCAAAAGGCTTCACCTAGACCTAGACGACCTCAAAGATTTTCCAGGCTCGCTCGAAGAAATATTAGGCGAACAAGTGCACGTAAAGGGTTACATCACCTCAAAGATCGTGTTAGGGCTAAGGAGAGAACAAAAATAACAAAGGTAAGATATATAGTTATGTATCCGCCTTCTTCATATAACATGATTATAAGTTGGTCTAGTTTCAATCATTACGAGCATCCTTGTGCACATTATACCTATGCATGAAGTACCTGTTTCCTAATAAGTGAATTGGAGTTATCCAGGGACCAAGAAACCGCCCAAAAAAAGTTATTTGTATAGTTTAAAGTTGAAGAGGGCAACTATAATCATATGGTCCAAGCTTAGTAGCCAAACACACATGAAGTGAACGTTATAGACTTAAAGCGACAAAAGCATAAAAGAGCAAATTAATCTTTTCATCCAAAGTGTGGATACAAAAATATTCATTGTTTTTTCTTATCCTCTTTATTTTGTTAATATTTCTTTTAAGACCTTATTATCATTTTACTCCCTGTCATATATGTGATTTTTGGTTTACCTCCTGTAATTTTTTTTTGTAAAACTAACTTTTCCACTTGAAGATTTTATCGTTTTAAAGCTTGTAAAATTTTTGTTCTTAAAATCAACCTTGCCACTTAAAGGATTATGTCATTTTAAATCCTGAAAATTGTTTTTTTTTTTGTAAAATCAATCTTGCCCAGTTATACTTCAGAGGATTTAAAATGACAAAATCTTCAAATTTATAGGAATTAAAATGACAGAATCTTCAAGTGATAGGTTAGTTTTAAAAGCAATTTTTTTTATAAGATTTAAAACAATATGGATAAAATGGTATTAACCATTCTTTTTTTCTTTTTTCGGTACTCACCATCAGTATAGACTGATTCTAACCCTTCTTTTAATATACATATTCCTATTAAAAAAAATAATTACTTGACAGTAATTTTACCATAATATTTTTGCTCAATGAAAAAAATTAGCTGAGACCAGTGTAGCCACTAAATATTATTCTTTCTGTTTCAAAATAAATTTTGTTTTATAAAAAAGAATTATTTCAAAATAAATATTATTTTTGTTTTTCAATATAATAATAATAATTTTTTATTTATATCATATAATTATTATTCTGCATGTTATCTTTACGAAATTAATAAAATTAATTTAATAAAAATACAATGGTTCGTGACAATATAATTATATTTCCGAACATGTGTACACAAATTTTAAAATATACTTATTTCAAAACGGAGGGTCTATAATACTTTCTAGTTACTCCAAAAAACCAAAGGAAGCAAAATGTTCTTTATAGGGTTTTGTCAAATTGACCCATGAACTCTAAACCCCATCTTCCACCATGAGCGACCGTGACCGCCACCGCGACAGAGAAAGAGACCGAAGACGAGACCGTGACGACCACCGCGATAGAGACCGAGACCGTGATCGTGACAAAGACGACCACCGCGATAGAGACCGAGACCGTGATCGTGACAAAGACGACCACCGCGATAGAGACCGAGACCGTGACCGTGACAGAGCACGTAGCAAGAGATCCCGCTCACGTTCACCCGACCGTGTACGCTCTCGCCACTCCCGCTCCCGTTCCCCCGCTGACCGTTCCCACCGTCGACGCCACCACCGAACGCCTTCCCCTGATCCTCCCAGGAAGCGTCACCGAAGGGATTCAGTCGATGAAGATCACAAAGACCACAAAGACACGAAGAAAGCGGTGTCTGACTTTGTAGACGGAATTGCGAAGGAACAGAAGCAGCAGAAGAATACAGAGAATGGGGAAGAAGTTGAGGTGAACGAGGATGAGTTGGAGATGATGAAGATGATGGGGATTCCTGTTGGTTTTGACTCCACCAAGGGGAAGCCGGTGCCTGGTGCTGATGTCAGCGGCATTAGAGCGGTTACGAAACGCCAACCGAGGCAGTACATGAATCGGCGCGGCGGCTTCAATCGTCCATTGCCTGCTGAGAAGAATCGCTAGGGTTTCTTTCAAATTTAAAGATCTGTTAGAGAAGGTCTGTTCCATTTCCCCCCTCAATTCTCTCAAATTATGATAGATTAGGGTTTCTTTTCAAGATTTCCACTTGTTGTTAGGTTAGGGTTTAGCTTAATTCGGCATATGATAGAAAGTTGAATTATTTTCCTCCTGCAAACTATGAAAATAATTAACACTGAATATCTTCAATTGAGTTATTTGGAAGGAACCTATCATTTTGTGTTGGAGCTAAAATTGTAGAGGCCGATTGCTATTATTTATGTTTTTTACTCTCATACTTTTTTATGTATTATTGTTTTAGCATTCATGTCATGTGTAGCTTTGGATTAGCTCAATATTGTTGTGGATAATGGTTATCAGCGATCTTGTAATGCTTGAGTGTTATCGATTTGTTTTATCTTTCTGATTGATCTGGTTAGTATGTTGCAAGTTCACTCGGGCACTTTATCGGTATTGTTACACTTAGCTAGTATGTTGAGTGTGGGGCTGTTATTGTTCTTCCTCCTTCATAGGTCATCTCATCTTCTTCTCTAATCACCATGGGTTGTGATTGCTGTTTGGATTTATCTTTTTTTCATCGTCTTTTTACCTGCTACTAACTATGGTAACTATTATTATCATCCTCAAAGTGGAGAGTTCTGTGATAAGTTACTTGTTTCTTACTCAGGCTTACAAACACAACACACAATAGGTAAAAATTTTTACTCCCTTAAAATAATTTCATATAAATCTCCAATCAAACTTATCCTTAATTATATTACTTTATTTTCGGACGCGAGAAGTGAGGGCTGAGGAGTGAAAGTCAGATGCCATTCTACTTTGTTCTTCAATCTGTAATATGTGATAGTTAAGTGCTTTACTCCAGTTTGATTGAAATATCGTATGTGATAGTTAAGTGCTTTACTCCAGTTTGATTGAAATATCATATGTGATAGTTAAGTGCTTTACTCCAGTTTGATTGAAATATCAATTTCAATGTGTAATTGTAGTTGTTAACTGCTCTACTACAGTTTGAGTGAAAATTTGACTGTGCAACTATGGGATTTACAATGTTGTATGAGACTACTAAGTGTTAGCGGTGGGAACCTAACAACAAGGTAAACTCAGTGTTGTAGAGAAGAGAATATAAGAATGGATTAGTGGTTGCACAAGATAATTTAGGATTAAGAATGAAAGTATTATTAGAAAGAAAAACTTGAATGACCGGGCACATTTTTAGAAGGTGTGTAAAAGCACTTGGTTGGAAGGTAAACAGAATCGACAATTAGTGTAATAGTATGAGGGAGTGAGAGGCTAAACATCCATAAATCAATGAGTAAGTGATATTTCAATTCATAATGTATCATTATTAGAATGGTTCTAGACAGGACTTTATGGTGTCCCTTGATTCATATAGTCAATCCTATCTAGTTGTATAAGGTATTGAATGGTGGTCTATTTTCTCCTTATATGTTCCAACTTCCAAGTCACAGACATTGTTAATGTGCAGCATTTGTTGTCGGTATGTGAATGACCTGTGGGAGCTGTGAAACTTTGGGGTTTTGTAGATCAGAGCAAGGAAATTCAAATGGAGTCTTTTTGTGAAACTTGTTGGCGGTGGTGATTGGTTGCTGGATGCGCTAATGGTGGCCTTAAGTTACTGCAGCTAGGAAAAAGGACGAGGGCAGCAAACATAGCAACATAGGGCAGAAGCCAAATGTGCAGTTCACGCTGGAAAAGATGTAACCAAAGAAGAAAAACAAGATGGTTCAATTAAATGAATTTTTAACACATCTATGATTAAATTCCCAAACTTTCTGAAACTCGACTGCAGAATAGTGATAAGACGTGTCAGAGGACCAAACCATGTTCTAGATATCATGTTGAAGTTACAGGTTTTATATAAAATAAGAAAAATGATTATGGTGTAATACAGTATAGTAAACTTGATAAAGTAGTAACTTGCTATAAAATTCTTAACACTAACCCCCTTTATTGAGATACAAGACTCATACTATTTGAATAAAGAAACCATGAAGCATATAAAAATAATAACTGTAACTTGGAAACTACTATCCTAAGATATAATCTCAGATACTCTGAAGTCAGAACTGATCCTATGAGATTAATTACGATACTCTGATATAACATCAACATATTCTAAGATATTTTCTTGTATTCCAACAATTATTTTCGGAGCTTATTTAAATATACTACAAACAAACACCATAGGATAGGTGAAATACTCTTGTCTTACCTCGTACTTGGAAGTGCAATGTAGTGGATGATGTTTGTTGAAGGGAATTTGTGTGCTGTAAACATTAGGGCAGGGCATTCAAAGTATCACTGTTTGTTATTTGTGACTGTAATAAACAAGTCTTTTGCGGAAGCTTTGTTTAAAATTGGACACTAGAGAAGTTGCAAGCAGTTAGTCTGTGAGAGCAAAAGATGAGAGTTGTGGCAGGATATAATGATAAAAATAACTGTATATTTTGCTGCTACGGTATATTAATCATTTATTGAGCTCACTGCTAGAATGGGAACAATGCTATGTAGTATGTCTTCTTTAGAAAGGTACTGTGTTGTAACTTAGAAATAACATTGGCAATAAGGGGAGAAGTTGTTTATTATACAATTGCAAAAAATTCCCTGTTTAGTTACTAATCCCTTGAGATGATATGTTCTGCTGTATGCTCTTCATTTGCATTCTCAGTCTTCCTTAATTTTGAAAGATATTATGCTAATTTCCTGGTGTGGATATTTTTACTTGTTTACACCCACGTAGTCACATGTCTTTTGGCTATAACTTGTGAAAATGTTATACCTTAAATCTCAAATATAAGTCGATGTTGGTTAAAGAAAACTGATGTATTTGGTCTGAAAGTTAGTCTAAAAGAAAATGTGTTTTAGCTGCCGGTTTTACTTGAGAGTAGTACAAATTGTTTTCTAGGAAATTTTTACAAATGTTCAAGTAACCAATCACATAATGCTTATGAATTAAATGTTGTGCCTTCCTATTTTTCTTTTTCATTTTTATACAAAATACATATATTGCCTTCTTTATTTTACTTGTTTGTGTGTATTTTATAAAATATTTTCTGCACAATAATAACCCACTTTCTTTGCTTAATCAAGTTTTGGCATTGTTTACTGCATATAGGTAATATGTTTTGGCGTCGCAGTTCAATCATAGGGAAGCTTGGAGTAAGAAACAGTTGATGGAAACTAAAGAAGAAAGATTGAAGGGGGTTCTTGACTTCTTGTTTCTTTTGACACTACTTATTTGTGTTGAATTAATGGCCATTGCTACTTTCAGCTCAATGTCCAGTGTAATATTGGATCGACAAATGGTTGTAGATTATGTTATTTTTTGTAGGGTTTGAATGTTTGATTTTCTGGTTAGTATTCTTTCAGTATCTTTCAACTATCCAATCGAGCTGACTGCATGAGACCAATGTAACATGTAATTGGTTTTTGTTAATCTAATACTACAATCTAGGTTCCTTTTTGATTGCGGGTTTCCTTAAATTTAATTTCACGACTTCATATTTCATTCAGTTCCTTCGAGGCACACACGACTTAATCAAGAAGTCATATAATTCTGCATTTCAATGTTGATCAATGGATTTGGGAGTTTGTTAACTCTCTGACTTAAACTAGTGGGTTTTATACTGTACTTGAGCTGATACATAGCACAATATTTCTCTTGATCTGGATTACCAAAGGGCAATTTCTCAATGCACCTTGTATATACTCTCAGTGAATTTCTAAAATGACCTACGTTTTCGGAGATGTATGTAAATTTGGAGATGTATTTGCGAAGGAATTTTAAGTTGTGTTTGGAGATATATCTTCGAAAATATATATTATTTTTTTTTAAATTTAAAAAATTAGTTCGGATATGTATTTCTGAAGTACGTGAGCATATTTAAAGTTCGCACTAGACTCTTTTTCTTTTTCATATTTTCATAGACTCAACTTTCTGTCTATCTCACTCTACTAATTTCTAGCTCTCACTCAAGATCAAGTTTTGAAGTAACATTTACTTGTATCTTGTCATTTCCAATTCCTCCTAACTAATGCATTCAACATCAGATCATTTTACACCCTCATCAACATATTTTTGAGTAAGTTTCTCATTTAACTTATTTTGATTTTTGATTAATCTATCAGCTCAAATAGGTTAATTTTAATGCATTAGATAGCATTAGTATTTCAAATATATTATGTACAGTATCTGTTTATATGATTTGGATGAGTTTGGATGGCTATGGTAGTTGCAAAAATTTTTTTTTCATTAAAGTTATGAAGTTTTTTTCGGGATATGCATCTATGAAGTGTTATGCTTCAGGTTTTCGGAGATACATACCTGGACTCTTTCCTTCCTCATATACTAATCAAGTTTGTTATGTTTTTTCAAGGACTATGGTTGAAAATTAAGAAAAGTTGAGACTCGGACAATCCACCCTAACTGTCTCTGCTCGTCGCGAGAGGGCTCGTCAGCACGAGCAGGCTAGAGTCGTCCCCGTCTTTTTCAAGATAGAAAGACGCCGATCTCTAGGGCTCGTCAGGAACGTGAATGTTTGAAATCTGTGAATCATACAAAAAAGATTCAGAATCTTTATCAACCTCTGGATCAGTGGTTCAAAAATGTACTTCGGAACTCTTGGCTTGCATATTTATGTGCTACCGGGTACACCACCATCAACCATGGCATGCATGCCGCATTTTCCGAGAGATGGCACAACGAGACGTCATATTTCCACCTCCCTATTGGTGAGATGACTATTACATTAGATGATGTAGCTTGCTTCCTACACCTTCTCATCAGAGGAAAGTTGCTTGATCCTTCTAAGATCAACAAAGTTGAAGTAGTGGATTGATGTGGTTTTTTGGAAGCTGACCCTGCAGAAGTCTTTGAGCAGTGTAGAAGCACTAGGGGTGCACATGTCAAGTTTTGTTGGTTGGCGAATTTGCATGGCAAAGACTTGAAGATAGTCGAAAGC